AACTAACAGTTTTATGATTATAATAATAAAATATTTGAGTAAAATAAAAAAAATATTTTAAATTTTAAACAATTTTCCTTCTAAATATTAATATCAACATAAAATATAATTTTGATTTTTTTATAATAAAATATACAAGAAATAAATTTGTTATTTATGATTTTCATCTTTGAAGTTGATGATTTTGTTTTAATGACATTTTACCTGACTTAATAGATAATAAAATAATAAAAATAAAATACAAATTGAAAATTAGTAAATTAATAAATAAATAAATAAATAAATAAATAAATAAATAGTTTGTGTATAGAAATAAATAAATAAATGCTTAATCTGGAGTATTATTATATTGGTAAAGTACAAATGATTGTAAATTAAGAATCCATCATAGGGTACATACAAAGTCAATAAAATCGTAACCCAAGTATTATTTCGTGCCATAACGTAAACAATATTAAAATTGAGAACGTGCTCGTATACCCGTGACATACTTGTGACAAAAAAAAAAATAAATAGTTTTGAACATAATTATTGTTATATTATTATTAGTTATGAATGGTATTTAAATATGATATGTAATTTATTTTATAATAAACGGAAAAACCATTGTTAAAATGGTTAATGACTACATGGAATTGATAAAAATAGCTTTTCAATCACAGAAATATATTTATAGTTGTTGTTTCTATTGTTGAAAATCTGTTTTGATAAAATTGAATGCAATGATTTCTATTACAAAGATTTCCTGAGGCTATGTAGCCACTATGTCCCCGTAGGCGTCACGAATTTTAACAATAAGATGGAATACTTGTTTGTTATAAAATTAATGACTGTACAACCGTATACTTAAAATACACGTCAGATACATTCACCAACACATAATACTCGTGTGCATGTATATAAAACAGGGTGTTTCGTGAATTGATGTGTCTAGTCTTAGGAATTATTAAAGTGGAAATAATTTTAAGAATAATTTTTACTAAAATGTTATATAAAATGGTTGTCTGAGATAATAGATCAGATATTTTTAGTAAGATTTATTTTTCGTATTAAAAATAAGTTCTATATAATAAGGCCTATATTTGATTTGATTTTAATTTTAATATCAATTTATATTTATAAAGGTCTTCATATTTTATTAATTTATTCTAAAACTTACGAGTGTAAAATAGAAAGTTACTATAAAATAAATAAAGGTACCTAATATTTTAAAAGAAAAAAACCGCATAGTACCCATAAATATGGTTTTAACAAATATATTCTGTAAATGAAGGAATAGGTTTCGTTATATTATGTATACAGAAAATATATAACTATATTAAATTAATTTTAGATATCTAGGGACCTACCTATATCGGCTAATGCCGACTCAAGCGTAAAACCAGCAAAACCTTCTGTTGTAATTTAATCACGTATTTATTTTTAAGATCAAAACGCAAACTAATATATTTTTCACTAATTTTATAATCATACTTCTTCCTAAGGTCTATGTTTAAATATTATTATCTTAACGTTATCATTATTTTATTATATATATAGTTATACTTATTATTGTTTTCATTTTTTCAAACGCTAAAAATAAAAAAACTCGTTTAACAATAAGTTTAGATGGTTTTTTATGAGAACTTTATAAATAAAATAATGCAAGTTATGCATAAATACATTATATCATAAAACTTAAATTCACTGACCGGGACGTTCAGCAAATACCAGCCTATAAACTAAGATTATTACGATTAAAATATAAAAAATAGTAATGAAATCAACCACTAAAATGAGACATTAGCAATATCTAATCAGTAAAGATAACCACGTTTTTGACAAATAATTAAATATACGAATATATATATACATACAGACATTTAAAATAATCAATCATTCAAAAAAACAAAATTATAAATAATGGAAAATATTTATAAAAAAAAGTAAAATAAAACAAAAAACTAAAAAATTAAAAATTAAATTATAATAATACGAGTATGCTGATACAGATAGGTACTATTTCGTCTCCAAATTAGTAAAAGAAATAAAAACTATTTAAAAGAAATAAATCATAATAAGTAAATCACTTTATATTAACTTTTTATAGAAAAATTACCATATTAAAAATATGCTTGTTTTAAATTGTAGCTTTTTAAAATTATCAGTTTTTATCTAGCTAAATGCGGTGGGTTATTATTTAAAATATAGATTTTTGATTATCTTTGTATAACTTTTGTTTTGGAAATGTTTCTGGGATAATGAAGATAATCAAATCTGGTTTTTTTTATATGACTCAAGAGAATGATAAGTAAACAAATAGTCATATTTTATTTAAATGTTTATGCCATGGTAAACGATTTTAAATAAAAATAGTGCACTGTTAAATAAGTTTTGTTTGGAAATTATCTGCAAATAAAATAAGATATTATTAAAATACATGTTATATTCAATAAAATATTTTTTTTAATGAAAGTAAAAAAAATTATATGTAAATATTTATAAAAAAATTAATTCTTTTAAATATTAATAAGTTATCTTTATATTTTTCGAAAAGTATAAAATAAAAAGTTATTTTGTTATATTTATTTAAAAAAAAAAAATCTAATTAAAACTTGAATATTTGTATTACTTATCCCTGGTTTATATTAAGCTATATATAAAAAAAAAAAAACATATTTTGATTTTATTATCATTGTCTCATTAAAATATTTAAATACGCAATGGGTATAAATTATCTTTGTGATACAATGTAATACTGTTCACGTAATGCTGTTTGGAAATATTTGAAGGAACTAACTATTTTTTTATTTTCCTCTATTGGCAAATATTGGCTCTGAAAGTTGGGTTTCTTGGTCACATATAAATTTTGATTGAATGGTAATATTACATGCTATGACTGTTATTGTTATTATTATCATCGTCGTCGTGTTAACGACTAGAATATAGCAGTCTTTGGGCTAAAGAATAAAAACGTTGTATAAGACCAAATTATATACATTTGTTATGTATTCTGGAAAATTGTTTGTGGTACTTTCGATCGTGAATTCTACATATTATTTTCAGTGCCGGATTCGCAGTGAAATGAACATTCAATATTACTTTACAATAATGATGTAGTAGTCTTTTTAATTTTTTTCTTGTTTTACTTTATTATAGAATAAATCTGCAGAGCCCAAATTTTCTTGCAGCAACTTTTTGGATTGGAAATTAAACACAGATTTTTTTGATTTCTTTTTGATTTCTTCCGATACCAAGAAAAAACTGCAAATATACATAGATGTTATATTGAATTTTATCAATTTAAAATTTTTTTCAAAATCAATTTTGTTTTCATGACTTGAAAACATTGTATACTACATTATTATAATAAGGCTACATGATCAATTTTACCTTGCGTTTTTTGTACGATTTTTTAAGGTTTTACAAAGTCAATTATATTTTACTTAGAATTATAAAAAAAACGTATATTTTAATATTTTTATGGATGCTTATTTACATGATTTTTGTTGCGTAGAGTTAGTAGATTATTAGATGCAGTTGAGTTGAGTCAGGTGCAGCCGGCGACCAAAATAACAACATTTAAACAACATTATATATATATATATATATACATTACCTTCATATTATTAAATTACATATTGACCTCGCTGGATCAGAATTATTTTCGTAATCTATGGAAGAAATATTTCTTTTGAATTTATAGAAACAAAAACAACATGATATAAATGAGACTTACACTAAAAATTCTGTATAATACTCTAACATTTTAATATGTTTTTTTCACTTTTATCCCTTCTCCCATTATATGTTGAATGCTATGACAGTTATCTCATTGGTATTTGTCGTAATACCATAATATTTACCCTATTCGCGTTTCTATCTTCATTTACAAGTTTGTATGTAAAGTTTAATATTATCACAGCCAATCTACTGTTCATTCCATAATACATATATGTATAGAACGGCAGAAAGTGGATATGGTCGAAATGCCAGCTGGTCATATTTTTATCGGTCTTACCATTCGCCATTTACTCCATGTACGCTCATCATTCACATATCTCTGCAGGTCGCAGCCCTCAATCGTGCTGTGACTTCGGTTACTTCCATTCATTTGAGATCTGTAATCATGAAACTTGTCCTTCCACAAATCCTGTGCCACTTATGCGGCTCAACGACCGTATGCGGCCGACGCACTTCAGCGTTTTGTCGTTTTGTATTAGTTCACTAGTTCACATACATTTATACTTATATTGTATTCTTGAACATATAAATAAATATTATAATATATTCATTACATATGAATAATATATACTTAACTGAACCAGTCAGTACTTGTACTGCAAAAAAATTACTTACCCACCGTTCTATTTTCCGACAAAATGTCCGTTATCGGATGCGTGTTACAATTATACTTTCTCATTGAGCCGATTACAGTACCCCATCCTTAACACAAATCATTGGATAACGTGAATTGATTTGCCAATCCCGAGAAAAACCTTAAACTTAAAAGTCGATTTTATTTTTTATTTTCTCGGCTTACATGTATTTTTCGATTAACAAGAATCTCGAACAAATGTTAAAAACTCTATTGTAGTTGTGATACATGTATATATGTATCTATATATATATATATATATATATATACATATACAATAATCGTATTTACTTACACGTATCACTTGATTACATTTCCCTGCTATTAAAACCCTTCCCTGCAAAAGGATAACAGTATTATTAAAAATATATTTTACAAACTTCAGGTATCTTGTGTCCGATCATAACGATAAGGCGCACCAGTGGAAATGGTACGTTGCAGTACATTACTACAGTCTCCACTGATTACTGTGTAGGGCAAGCTTATAATATTAGCATAGATAAGTAGAGTTGGCAAATTCTTCCGATCCAATTCACATTTTCAAAGTTTGAGATGATATGTTTAGAGGGTGGCTGGCAATGAAGTGAAGAGTGGATAGATTGAATATATATATATTATATAAATATTTTTTTTTTTTTTGCAGCAGACAGCAGTTTTCTTTTAGCAAATGCTCAGATCGTCGACTTTCCAATAGTCTACTGCAACGAATCCTTCTGCAAGATTTCCGGATATAATCGGGCGGAGGTGAGTTTCCACTATTTGTTCAGTTATTACCTAATCAAAATATTATAATTAAGAAGTTGTTTTAAGTTTTATATTATGTTATATCTTTTCTGCATGTATCATAGTTTTCTCTACGTATTATTATTAATTGTTAGAGTTATAACTTATAATTGTTTTGGAAACTTGTTTCGTGACCTTAAGGTGATGCAAAAATCATGTCGATGCTCATTTATGTATGGCGATCTCACGGACAAAGAGACGATATGCAGAATAGACGAAGTATTGGAGAGCCACTATCACGATCAGTTCGAAATTTTACTCTACAAAAAGAACAGTGAGTGTCCATTCTAATGATACGATTAGATCGATAAGAATCACCGAACCAGTAATGTGGTACTTACCTACGACACCCAAATCTAATCATTGTCGAGTAATAAATAAAAAATGTCGCGGTTATATGACCATTGTACCCGAAAATTAAATAGATTTACAAACTAGACCTAGTAAAAATATAACCCGATGATAAATTGACCAAAGGGAAATAATAGTACTATTTTATAAATTAAATCGAGTATATGATAAGAAGTTTTCAAAGCGCGTAAATACCACACGTGTACTCCAAAATAATTTTTTTTACACAATTGTTTGAAATTTTTTATAAGAGAAATTCGTAATGTGTCAATCAAATTGATTCTATGATTATCCTACAAAAATAAACTGTACATTAATATTAAAATGTGTATGTATTCTACCATATGTATGTGTTTCAACCACCACTGCTATTACATAGCACTCATGTAATCATTTGAAACAAAAATATATTGAGTTCAAAATAACTATAGTATTTTTAATATAAGAAGATCACGAACGGATACTTACACATAATCTTGTTTTTTAAATTAATTTATACGGAAAAATTAAATCATTATTATGACATTAACATTGACATAAGTTGTAAAAACTAAAAATTTCATATGTTTTATTCACCTATAATTTTTATGAAAATAACAGTAAATTATTATTTATTAATTTTAATCGTTTATCTAAAAATAAATTATACATTATTATTACATATCTAATGAAAAATTGTCTTAGTTTTTAAATTATGACAAATAGATAAAAAATCAATCACTATATCAATATTTATTTTTTACAGTACGAACATATCTATACCACAATTTTTATTATAAATTTAATTATAACTTCAATCGTAAAAATTGTTATTAATTATTAGAACGAAGATGGTTTAGTCTATTGCACATAAAATATAAGTACGCAGTAAAAAATAATAAATACTTTTAATTACGGTTAGTATTTCTGGTTGTCTGCTATTTAATAATAATTAATACAACATAAACATTCACTTTGATAAGAAAATTATGCTATAAATTATGCTATAAAAAATAAAAATAAAATGTTAAATTATTATAATGGTCTTTGATCAGAAAATGAAAATTTTATTAAACTTTTATTGATTTCGATGAATTTGATATTTTATAAAACTACCAGTTTCATACCTACTATAGCCATAATTAAATAATCATTTTTTTTATAAAATATTATTTATCTGATATTTTTTATTGGTACTACGATAACTTCAATATGATTCTTAAATACAAATCTTATTAGAACGTGTTAACATATCTAGATTTAGGCTTCTTTTTTTTTTGAATAAATATTTATTATGCAATATAATCAGAGGGATAATATACCCGTATCATATTTTCTTGTACCTACCAATTTTATAAAATATAGAAATAAATATGTATACTTTCCTCAGATTACAATTCCACGATAGTAAATATTGCTTTTGATTTCTGTAGATAATCTTTCTGCCATTTAAAAAGTGGAAATTAGCTCTATTTACATTTTCGATTTCTCCGGGTACGTTTATTACTTCACGCCTACCAACTATATTAATAATTAGGTACTAATATTGTTGCATCAGCTATATAAAATGTATTTTTTATACCTAATCCCCGCGGACCAAATTTCTCCGTTGATAAACCGTAAATCAACAGAAATGAAATATCCTATTCTGACCCGGAAATAAGGTCAACAAAGAAAAAATATTTTTCATTTGGTATATAGTTGTAGGAATTAGTTTAGACACGGTAATCCGCAGAACGTGCTCTTGTTTTCTGTCAAATATAAAAACTCAAGCTGAAGTCTGAATAGAGTTTACGTAATTTTAATCATTGTAAGACCAAGGATGCAAAACAATGCATTATATTATATGGGGCAATCGAATAAGCAAATCTTTTTTCCGCATTTATATTCTTATAACCTACTAGTAGTTTAATATTAGCAAGCTATAATTCTGACAATGGACCAGTAAAGTTTATTTTACGTGTACTGGGAATAATTCGTTCATGGTGTATTTAAAAATATAGAAACATCAAATAACGCTGTTCGTAAATGTGGGTATTAAATATGTAAAAGCAATAGTTGAAGTATCCAATAATTCAAAATTAGATTATTTTGGTCTAACAACTATGTAACTTTTAAAATAACGCTTTCTCTCGTTGCTCCTTTCATCATGTAATTTGTGACACTGAAACAAGAACCAATTATGTGATATCAAAAGGGAATGTCTGCAATTATGGCCATCGATATTGATGGATACTCATGGTTATCGGAAGAATTGGTGGTGCGTATTTGGCACGATGGAAGTGGTAGAAGTTACGCTAATGAAATTAAGTTTTCCGTAAAGAGTGTTGCTACAAGTCACTTAACCAAATTGAAAAGTTAGTATCTTATTTGAAAGCAATAGCTGTGATGACAAAAACTTGATGTGCGTGTTTATGTGTGTAGTAGAAACGAAAGAGAGTAGACTTATATTTGTTCTTTTTTTTTCATCTTCTTTTTCAAGTGGACCTCTTTGTAGTGTTGCCAATAAAAAAAAAAAAAAACTCAAATAAAAGGTGATTTTGAAAAGATTCAATTCTTAAATCACACCCCGGTAACCTCTTTTTCACTATACAGACCTAATTTTCCGGATACAATATACAACCTATTGTTGAAACGGATATCCTCTTCCGGTCACACGTGCGTACTACATTACTGTGTTCATCCAAAAAATAAAACCATTATCATCACCACCGAAACATTTTTCATTTAATATTGTTATTTGTTCATATACACGTAATAATATTAAATTTATAACCATTTTTTAAAACCAATAATATTGATCCCAAACAAAAGTTTTGCCATGGCATGTTATCACATTACTATTAGTTGACATAACGTTTGATATCATTAAAATACGTTCGTTAAATTCTCATTTATTGTTATTATAGTGTATTTTATTTACCCGAGGTATAACAAAACCAAACAAAACCAAAAAAAAAAAAAAAAAAATTAAATTAACAGTCAACTAATAACAGACCTAACTGTAGTTATAAGTTTTATTAAAACACTTGGGCAAGCTGATGATATAATTGTATACTATTGTTTTACGAATTCGATAAACTTTGTTATGAACGAGTGAAGATTGATATTATTTCACCAAAATGTGAATAAAATAATATACGAGTATGTGGTGTTTGGGTGCACTATTATTTTTACAACTAATAAAACAAAATTAATGTCAAATAATATATACTAATATACATGTACAAGCTTACATGTGTATTATTTTATAATTAGTTAAATGTGGTTACTAATTGTAATGTAAATATTTTCAATTACATTTAAAATTATAAACGTTCAATGGATATGGGGTTTTTAATAATTTCTTTCTAGTATGTAATATTAAATTATAATAATAAATAGTTTAAAATTTCTTCAATTTAGGGTTAACGTTAAAATATTAAACACGTCATTTCCAATATTGTGAAACAGTATTAAAATACAAACAATTAGGCTTATACGAAACGTATTAAATACAATCTTTGAGGTTTTATATTTTGAATAAGTCGGTATAAGTTTGTGTTAAACATTCTACTGTGGACATTTATTCAAAATTTGAATAACTTTAAATGAATTTCAAAACGTTTTAGACTAACTTGAGTGTTATATATTTTTAAAAAAAATAATTATTCGAAAAATGTATGGATTTATTTTGAACATGAAACACAAATATAAATCACTATTAAAAAAATATCATGACTATAAATTTAAATTCTCTATGAATTTCTATATTAAATAGTATTTGTAAGTAACTATATTTTATCATGTTTGATTAAAACTGTATATAGAATAATATAACAATAATAATATTATGAAATTTTAATAGTAATAATAATAGGATCAGGTAAATTATTTTATTTAAAATGTTTATATTTATTTGAGAAATTAATTAATTATACTTCTTCTAAAAAAAAATAAACATTTCATTTTAAATGTTTATGGTAATATTCTTACAATGTGAGTTGTTTATTTTAATATGTCATTGAAAAATTTAAGAAAAAAATTTGGGTATAAGTATAAATAACTAAATCAAATACTTTTTTATATTCCTGTTTATTTAAAATATTGTGTGCAATATATTTCAACCATTCAAAAAAACTATCTATTTATTATAATATATTTTTTGTATACAAAAATAATGAAATAATTTAAATGTCATATTTGAAATAAATAATTATAATAGTTTTATTGACTAAAAAAACATAAATTTAGTTTCAAAATATTTATATTTGTGCTTTCAAAACGCTCTCTTACCACTTAATTTTTTTTTTGATTTTATTAGGAAAAGTTTTGGAAATATTGGATCGATAAGAAAAATATATTCTATTTATGTAAACTATTTGGTTAAAAATTATTTTATATAATATGTATATAATACATTATTACTACCGAGAAGAGTTGTAGAATTCAAAAAAATTATTATGTAAATGCAATCATATTTTATCCATAAAATTTAATTAGGTTCTAATAATTTCAATTATAAAAATATTTATGAACATAATATGCGTTTCAGTTTCGAAAATAATAATATTACTATTCCTTCCACGAGATTTGTGTCAGTTCAAATAAAAATACACCAACGCACAGTATCAAATCATGTGCTTGGCGCGCAAAATATACGTAATGTTTTTCGTGCATTTACCGATAGTGTCGAAAGACCTTTGATCGACACAAAAATCCGATACATAAATAGCTGTCCATGTATACCGGTATTTATGACATTACCTATGAAAGAAGCGTATCGCGCGCATGGACATAATGTTTTCAATTCAATTTCGTTGCCAAAATGAAAAATAAAATAATAGAAAAAGTAAATTGCGGGACTAAAAAAAAAAAAAACACTATAAATGTTTCAATTTGTATAATCTCTTTGTTCTGCTGTTGGCTTTCTCCTAAAATATATTTACGTTTACCATATTACGATAGACAATACATTATATATGTATGACTTATTATTATATCAAGTGGTGAATCATTAACTCGAAAATTACTAGCAACGATGGGATGGTTTTATTTTTATTTATTATTTTAATTTGATTTTATTTTTTTGCACCCTCCGCGCTGTCGATACAAAACGAATAGACTTATATAATCTACATTTTATGTCACTGGTAATGAAATTATTTTATTAGTATTATATTGCTCTCTTTTTCCCATCCGGTCGGAAATAAATATATACCTATTATTTTTTTTTCGAGTCTGAAATGTATACAGCACATTCTTCTTATCATTACCCAAATCAATATTCATTACACATTGAATAGGTTAAATCTGTTCTATTCGTTCATTAATAAATTGTTTCACGATTTGGACTACTTCCTCCATTATTTTATGAGTACACAAATCTTAAGATAAGTGTCTGGTGGAGTAATTATTACCTCAACAAAAAATAAACCACCTTAAAATCAAAGCGAACCTTTACACAAACCGTTTGCGTTTTTGTTTTTATTATTGTAATACCATTAGGCAACCATAAATAATATTATTTGTCCTCTAAATATGTATTAATGTTATAAATATGTATAATACTATCATAAATGTTATGTGTGGTGTTGTCTTGGGTAATATTGCGTTATTGTTGTTGTATTTTAAACTCTCTTTTTTTTTCTTTTATTTTTTTTTTTTTTAATACTAAAAAATTAACAAAAATGTATTTGTTTTAAATATGTACCAAACCAGATCTGCCAGAAGGTATGTTGGCTTTAAGACCAAGCAGGTACCGTAGAATGAACGGTTTAATCATTTCTTTATTTTTTTTTTTATTTTTTACTTTTTCTTTATGTATATACAATACAAATTATATAATATTATATATGATTTATAAACATATGTATACATATATACATACATGTTTTCTTGCTCAGTATTTTTAAAGTCCCTGGCATAATTATTATACTTAGCCATTTGATATATTTACATAGAAACCCGCGAGAACCATTATTTTATTCGCTTTTAATATTGAAAAACACTCTCAGATAAACCACAGGCAGACGCCATTTTGATCTACACCTCGTAGCCGGTTGTTTTATTTTAATAATAAAATTGTATGCACGATAACAATAATATTTTTATTTTGTATTTTTATTATGGTTTATTTGGTATTATTTTAACATTCGAGTACCTGTAAAGTCAAGCACGCCGACATATGTAATTATATGACGTACAATGCGGTCAAAAACGCTAATGTACATACTATATTATAACGTAGGTCAGTACTATCCCATAGTAGCCTAGGGTTTAACATCGTATTTAATAGGCAGATAAATATCTTATATAATTATGTACATTGCATATTATTATTATTATTGTTAAATCCTTTCCAGTTAATTATAATTTTTTTTTTCTTTTTTAGAGAATTTAACCATTGAATTGCTTGTATTTAATTGGACGCGTGTACGCCATTAATGGCCGGTCGTACGAAACGAAAATATTGAATAGCTTATAATGATGTATAATATATATTTGTATTAATATATATATATATTTATAAATTGTTATTATTATTGATTAATAATTGTCACCACTATAACGCTTAGTGAGTGGATTTCTCACGGGCGACTGTATAGTAGTTTTATATTATAATATACAGCTGAGTATGTGAAACAGAACTATAGAGCTTTTAAACCGCTTCTAACACCTCAACAGTTATAATATATAAGTGTATGGAGTAAAATATTAGAAATGCTTTTACATATAATTACGTGAAAGTGGTTTGAAAAATGTCCACGCGTTTATCTGGTACAATAAAACGTATCGATATTTTTCTATATCAATAGATCATCATTAACTGGTGTAAACTATACAATTTTTTTTATTTTATGTGATTTGTATTTTGAAAGTATTTAAAATTTTTATTTTCATGTAGATGTAAAACATTCGTTTTTTAATAGTTGTATGAACCAAATATATTACTTATGTATACAAAACAAATACAATTAAAAATAACAAAAAGTTGCCAGCTGAATACGTGGACATTTTTCAGTCACATTATTATTAAAAACATGCAGCAATAAAATGGCCGTTAAAAAAACAGCCTTCAGACGGCCTATTCAAGGCTAGGTGTAATTAGACCTAAGTTGAAAGAACCATATATTAAAAAGTAGATATTTAAATTTAAGTTGGTTGGATATAACGTATCTGACATTTTTGGTAGTTTTTCCTGTTGAAAATACTTACTAATTACGAAAAAAAAAATAAAAATATTTTGTATAAAGTAAAAAGGCATCGATGAGGCCAAAAGTATGTTGTGTCATCATTAAACAGCTTTTTTTTTCAATAAAAACTAAAAATATCTTTTTTATCCATCCTGACGAATTAAAAACAACAGTATTATGAACAATTATTTCAATACTACTAATAATACTGTGTAAGTAGTCACATCGTATTTGTAACGTGAATTTTTGTGAGTGAAGACAGGGTATACTTTTGGCTACGCCGATAGCATTTCGAAACACTATTCACTTACGACCACATATAACCGTTTTGAAATAATATTTGTTAGAGACCCCGTTATGGCTGCTGATGCAAATAGCTCCGATCAAGAACGAGAGGGATCTCGTCGTATTGTTCCTACTTACGTTCAGGGACATCACGGCGCTGAAGCAACCCATCGAGTCCGAGGACTCCAAAGGCGGTAAGATGCAAATTTAAATAAATAAAAATTAAAAAATATAATATATTATAAAAAAAAACCAAAATGATCGTCCACATGAATGCGTTGTACATCACATACATCTTTATATATGATATGCGTACCTAATACATGACCTTGTTAAAACAATTTACTAGACCCCAATAATTGTTTACAAAAAAAACTATCGTAATCTCGAGCAAACAGAGAAACTCCCCTTGTACACCAGTACACAAATGCATAAAAATCATATTTGTGTTTATGTGTACGAGTTTTGTGTATATGTGGGTGTGTGTTTGTGTGTAAGTGTCATACGCGTGCGCATGCACATATTGGAAATAAACGTTTACGTAGGAGGGATACGAGGACGCGAGTAAGGACGTGAAGGTATGTAGACATTTATATATAGCGGAATATCGGTCAGGACACAATCGATGTGTATGTGAACTGCTTGGCCGTAATTAAACCGGACAGGATTAAATTACCGACGTTATTGACTTTACGCCAAGAGGGTCAACGTGGGCGGTTGCATTATTGTTTGGTTGTCGACTACCACAAGTTTACTTAAGATCAATCAAAATCACAATGTAAAACTTATATGACGGAAGACATATAATAGAGCAACTATATGCATTATAAGGAGAATGTTTTCGTTAAATTTTCCAGCAAAATAAATGAATGCACAGGAAATGCACGATGAAATTGCAGTATAGGCAACAAATACGATATGTGTATGTGTAAAGGGTAAAACACCATGTGTTTCATTTTCCATACGTCACTATTCGCACAATAAAAACTGATGTTTGGCCAACGCCACTACTGAGAGGAGGAAACTCTCAAGTTTTTTTTATTTTTGTTTATTTATTATTTTATCAAACATCTTAGAACCATATAGTTGGTACACACACAAACACAAAGGTCGATTTCTCAAGAGGTCCATACACATTGTCAGTGTTATTTGTCGACCCGTGTACACATTCCATGTTATATGATATGTGTATACAAACATATACACTCTGTGAACACGACTCTCAAATTCGGTAACCGGAGACGGAGAGACGAGAAATATTCAGTATTAGACAAGTTTCCGGCAACTTGCCATTCCATCGCTGTACTAGTAGTTCACGGCTTCGGACTACCCTTTGTATTCAATCGCATTTGATTGAAAGCTCCTGTGCAGAGAGGAGGGAGGATTGAAATTACGTATTGATATACCGATTCAATTAAATAACATTTCATACAAAATAACTCTGTGGTACGTGATTCGAGTGATTATTATCAATTACCATCATTATCGAAATCGACGACTTACCTTAAGTTGCTTTTGCAATAGTCATCAGTCGGACAGTGAAGAAGTTAACGTCCTAATATTTTATTTAGTATATTCCAACGAGAACAAATTAATGCTAGCTGCATTTGTGTCCCTTAACATACTGTTCAAATTAATCTCTGGGGGATACGCTGTGGCGATATTCATACGATATTGCGCGGATATATCACGGATAGCCGTTTTGGACAATAAGTCTTTATCAATTAAAAATGTATTAGAAATAACGGGAAGCAACTTTCACGAATATTTTGAACAATGATCGCGGATCTGCACTTGTGACATTGAGTGTATGCTTCATGATTGTATTCTATATTTTTATCGAGTCTATACGAGGTGTTTTTAAGGTTTCACTACTCTGCGGCCTGGTAAACCATTGTAAACTTTCTACTGTTAATGGTTAATGTTTAATGTTAATGTTTAATAATTAATCATTAATTATTAATGGTTAATGGTCTATCAAGTGAGCCATTTTTCCTCGACTGAAAATTGAACCAGAAGCATGCACAATCTAAACTCGTAATTAGCTCGATAAATTTGTAATAATAATAATAAAATGTCTGTGCATTTAATACGCATATCATATACAGTTATAATATGATTAAAAAGAAATCGTATTCCACCTTATACATCATACTCAAAAACACACAATACATATAAATCGTGTTATCTGGACGATTTTGATGGTTAAGCCTACCCGTCGTATGGATCGTTTCAGTTAAATCTACTGGGTTTTAACTGCAACGAACCACACGGTACCCACCCCTCCCATAATTATGACAACAACATCGAGACATGATGACAACATTGGGGTAAAACTATACAATACAGTACAATACATATACCCGTTTGACTACGATAACATCAATAACATTATTAAAACATAGTCATATGTTGGTAGTATGTTTGATGTATACGATCCTTGTGATTCCATGTGATTGATTTTTGCGATTTGTTTATTATAATTAATAATAATGATATGTATTTTAAACTGCATGGGTGTATTGTAACGAAATACCTGTCTCATTTTCCTCCTCCTCTTTTTTCGTCGGTGCACTCAATTTAATAGATAAAACTATACGCACTTAGTAGGATAATTAAAAAATAATATCACGTGGAATGAGTGGTGCTGGTCGATCGGGGACACGATGAGCAGGTTCACCTGCAGGCAGACTTTTGAATACCACCCGAACTTCTTGTAACTCTGGGATTCGTTCAAATACATTTACATTGTTTACGTGTCACCGTATTGATAACAATCGTATCGAATCGTCCTCACTACTGCGTTATTGTGTTGTGTTGAACGTCTAAAACGATATTTACAGTATATATTCCATTAAACATCATCAAAAATTTGGCTGACGTGTTTTTTGCGACACCTCTAACGATACTAACACTAATAATAATACTTATTTTTATACATTATCACGAATTTTAATGTAATAAGTAATATTATAATAATATTAAATTTGTTACATGCGTAATAATGGTCAACACAGTTAGTCATCGTAATCGATAATAATTATACACCAGTAGTCCAATAGCAAAATAAAAACTACAATAATCTTCCTGCATCTCAGTATAAACATACGTGTTGGGAGGGAAATTGAGAAAGTCAAGGGTCGAGGGAATGAACTTTCATCGTCTCGTTATTGTCGTACAATGTATAAATCCCTCATATAACGCCCTCTAAATCTAGATTAAACCCAAAGTCGTAGGTGGTTCATAAACGTTACAACTATATAGAGTTGACTACAATAGAGTAGTTTCTAATTAGGGATTAGGATGCATGGTGTTTTTACAGTGTGACGGCTCCATTTTTGTTTTCTGCGTTCATCTTGTAATCCCTCGTACACGACATTATATTAAATACACCGATACATACAGACATATACGATATAACGCGTATGTGCTTATACAAACATGTACATACAAGAATAATAGACATACATGGATCCATTTATAAATTATACTATTATAATAAACATATTTGTATGTGTGTTATTTTAGTCGTCCATTTTTTTCACTCCCCGTATAGACCTGTGACGTCGTAGTTTGTATCTGGCACCGGGTACGGGTCGTATAGGTTTCTCTCATGACACGACCACCACAAGGATGCTTTAAATAAAAATATCTTTTTTTTCACAAATACTCTCTTTTTTTCTTTGTTTATTCCATCGTGTTTATTTATTTATTTTTTTTTGCCACAATTTTCACCGGGTAACGTTTGAACCAGACGAATGACCGTTGGTTATGTGTGTGTCTGTTGCTGAAAACAAAGCACGTATGCTAGATGTGAAACACCAAAAATACAAACGATTTAATGTATACGTTTTTATTTTTATTTTATAATATTTATATTTTCGAATATAATTTACCGTGGAAAATTAAAACGGAAAAAATTTAAGTACAATCAGTGTTCGGTGCGCTTTTATAGCTGCTGCTTGTCCAGACGTGTTTTCGGTATTACCGAGTTTCTGCGTGTGCTTAGGCACATTCGCCATGAGTTTCGAATAGAAATAATACGGGACATAGTAAATTATCGAATTGATTACAATTAATCATTATGAAACTGAGTAACATAATTATATCGCAGCAAATTACCACATTTAAACGATTCGACTACAACTTTTTTGATTTTAAAAACCAGCAAGAAATAGTAATAACTATTACGATTTCTGGGTGTATTTATATATGTACAGCCCGTACTTTTAATTAAACAATTAATATAAAACTATTTATTAGAGAACCTACATTTATCTTTAAATCGAATTAGATTATTTATTAGTCTGCTATGTTTAATATTTTAATTGTAATTGATTATTAAATTATCCAACTTAAATTTGAAGATTTAAAGTATCACGAAACAAAAAATAAATTAACATTTAAATGTACGTTATAAAAATAATATCAATGTTAAGAATTTAACAATATTGCGGAAATAATTTTAAAACTTATATTTTAAATATGAAATTATTCTATTAGTAGAAACCTATAGATTATAGTCTATAACATAATGAATATTTTAAATAAAATATAAAATAATAATAATCAGTTTTTGAGTTATATATAATAGTTGTTTGGTCAGCAATATATGCAAAATAGGAAATAAAATAGAATAATATATTCCGTACCATTTGGAATTTATTTAACCAAATAGTATTTTTTTTCGTTAAGGACTCGTATGAGAGAGACAAATGGTCCAGTACATTAACATCATTATTATTGTTTACTTAACAGTAGAAATTAAACAAATAACCGACCCACGGTATCACAATTACTATTAACGTAGTGTGTATTAGTGTATTGTTTAAAATAATATATTTTAACAGACTTAGTTTTTATTCCAACAAAATATTTTATTGTTTTAATCGCTCAAAACAATAAGTATAAAGACAGAGTTGTTACATTTTGAAATAACCATGTACGTTGACCATCAGGTTCGTTAATTTTTTTAACAATTATTTTATACGATCTCTTTATACATATATAATGCAAAATTTCTAAAAAAAAAAAAAAAAGATTAAAATCTGACACGAAGAGATCGGGTGTTAGGTATTTACCTATAATCAAAACGTAACCACTTGTAAATATTATATGTTAAAAGTATTGATAAAAATTGTGATATTCTAAGATTTCTACACCAACATCGATTCAGTCGTCTGGTAGAGTACCCTGGTAAATTTTTTGAGGTAAACTTTTTGATAAGTAACTTTGGGTGTTTGAGAATCTCAAAATATAGGTGTTTGTAGTATTATTGGCAGCGAGAGGTATGTTTAGGTATTTATGTAAGGTATGATTAGCTACATAGAAGAGAGATTTTCTAATTTTATTGATTTTTATCAATATTAGATTGTTTATATAAGCCTTGTATTTGTATATAATTGGGTTAGATAGATTTGAAAAATAAATTGTAAATTAGCAGTTGGTGTGCTTAAATATTAAAATACACTGTAATTGTTTGATTTTTTTCAATTAGTATCTTCTTTTTTGCACTTAAATGTATTCCCTGTGAGACTCGTCTAACTAGTATTACATACAGGTGTTAAGTATTTTATTTAAGTGGGAGTGGTTGATGGTTTAAAAATAGAGGTGTACATAATATGCAAGACTGGATTAAGGGGGGGGGGTCTCACCGAGACGGTAGTCCTAGGGCCTAAAATATTTTATACTGATACACATTTTTTATCATACTAAAATTAGAAGTTTTATAGACATAAATTGTATATGCGAGTACCTATTAATTTTATTATTAATTGGCAATTTGTGAAATAGTTAAAAAAATTTATCAATCGGCGAGTGCAGCTTTGTAAGGCATGTTTTGTCAAAAGGACACTAATAAAATATCAACTCCTGGGTCCAAGAGGTGCTTAATTCGGCCTTTATAATGTGAGTCGAAGAGTAAAGCTTCAATGAATTGACTCTCTTTCAATAATTTTAACGCCCCATTAATTGTACCACAGTGGTAACACGTCTAAATGCGTGAGTATGCGGCTTTATAATAATTATGGTATATGGCAAAGAACACTTTATCATCAGATATTAGATCATAGTCAATCACCATGAGATTTTATTCACATGTTAAGTATTATATTATTATATTCAACGCGTATATGTCTGTATGTATATAACTTGCAAGGACGAGATTTAAACAATACATTGGAAGTGCGTCGTTTTGCCCATAACGTGTAAAGTGGTTTGTGCCAACACCAACCTGTATCATAATATTACGATTATGAACTCGGTAATATTGTTTAGCATGGTATAGTGTATGAGTGTGCATGTTAAGGCGATTCGCGTGAAAGCTGATGCGAAAACATTCATTTGCAAACCGCGGTACATATATGAATAAAATAAAAATATTCAAGACTAAGTGTTTTCCAGAACCTAAATACTTGCATGAATATTCTCGCGGATCGTCGCAACATGATTAATCACTCGTAACGAAAAAAGTGTTGATAAAATATTACCAACACGTATACATATATTCGTATTCTTTATAATATTTATTTCATTCTCAAATATTTGTAATTGTTATAGCGTACAATATCGACCATGATAATGTGGCGTATACTCATGTTTTATACATTTCAAATAACGTTCATTTTATGAAATTACGTCATCTAGTCACTATGTTATTAAAACTAAGTTATCATCTCGTATAGCTTACTTACATTATACATAAATGTAACTATAATGAGCCCTCACGAACGATTCCACGAGATACTATCCACCCCACTCTCGAAATACGAATTTCGGTTACAGCCTAAGAGTAACATATCGAACTGTATACATCCATATGAATACGTTCTTTCACCTTACCCTAAATCCCTACTCACCCAAGTTTTCATTCGTGGGTGGCTCTAGTTATAACTATATATAATAAATTACTAATTTCATACTACTCGTTTATGTCATAATATATTTAGTATTTATTCATATCATGATTGTTCGATGTCTTGTTTTGCTTTGATTTGTATACTTTGTTTTTGTTCGTTTTTATTTACTTGTTTTTGTTCTGTTTTGATCTCGTTGACGTGCATGCTGAGTGTGTGTTTTTTTTTTGGTTTGTTTTCGTTTTCCATTGCCTTGCCCAACACCAGGAGATCTGTTAGCAGGCCTCAGCAAGTTTGCCAAGCTGGCCAGATCGGTAACCAGAAGCAAGACGCTGGTGTCGCAGTTCTCGTCACATCCTGTTTCCATCAAAGACTCTACCAGACATGTACAATCTCACTTGGCGCACGTGAGTACAGAGTTTAGTCATGTAGACGCACACGTACATAAACATACACACACGCACACATGCATACGCTCACACACACGCTCATACACATTCAAACACGTACACACGCTCACACACACACATACATACCAACGGACCACAAACGTATAATTAACAAATATACTATTAAGTGTGCTGCGGGTGTGCGTACGTGTGCATGGGTGTATAAAACGTCTAGGTATATTATCATAATAATTCATCATAGACCATGACGTTATAATAGTAGTATATCTATATAAAGTTTAGTGACATCATCTGTTCATTTGGTAAGGTTGCACGTTGGGTGGGGGTGGATGTCAGATAACATAACGCAACCGAGGAGATGACCCTATGCCAACCATCGAACTCCCTCATCCTTATGATAATGATTATTACCTTTCCAAGACAGATTTTGTAAAAACCGAAGACCTGTCTAAGATGTAAATTCGATTCAATTCCATTTAGTGTATCTGCTATACTACGAATAGAATATTTAATTGCGGTTTGATGCCTTGAACGGTTTTTAGTGGGTATATAATAATAATTTATTTAATAATTTATTTATTATTAATTTAATACTTCGAGGCGTAATATAAACCTTAAATATTCGTCTAAATATCACGCATAGTACTTTTTTCAACTGATTGTGTCACTTAATTTGATCGAAAAAAATAATCATGTACGCACAAGAAAGTTCTTTATTGAAAATATGTAATAAGAATAATAGTAATGTCATTGTGATCTTTATAATATGCTTCAATAAGGATTATCTGCAGCTAGCGTATGTGTGTCATTCGAGTTGTTGCTGTAAAAATATACTAATAAAGTGAAAACTGTCTAAAGCTGACCCTGAATAAAACGGAAAACTATCTAATACGGAATTTTTCTATGGTACCAGCACGTTCCTATAGTTTTATATAGACGCTGAACATCTATAAAACGGAACCTTCTTAACACGCAGAAACGGAACGATAAATATGACTTACAAAAGTCCTATTTAAGTAAAAACCTTGCATAAACCAGAAAAATGACACGCACATGTGTACTATAAACCTAAAATATAGATATGCACTTTGTTGTATGAACATCGTTAAATAGTGATAGATAAAAAAGATAAAATTGTTCTGTACATATTTGTACAATATATGTCCATATAATGCATATTATCACAAAAACGATACGAACTTTTTTCTTTATAAATGTGAAACAGTCATACACTGATAGTCGTACGTACACTTTTAGTTTTATCTCCTGTTCATCGTATTAAATATTAAAATGTTAAAATATAAGTGTCTATGAGAAATATCAACTGATCGATATGAGAATAAAAGGATAATTGAATAATGTGGAATTTTTTGTTAGTCCCATGCGATTCCGTTTTAGACAGTTTTCACTGTAATATTAAACTAATAAACTGTCACAAAAATTCAAATTTGAATGTTTTTCAATAATCTATATATAATTGAAATTTAGTTATTCGAACGGCCAATTACATTTCAATACATCATGTTAAATTTGTAAAAAATGAATAATAATAATTATAATAACAACAACAACAAAAATAACAACAATAAAAACATATTAGGTGAAGGGAAATTATGATTTTTTTTCTACAAAGAGGGGAATATATAAGTTTATCAAAAAAGAACAGAGAAAATTCATAGCATTTAATTTTAATAACAATAATGTCAACTTCCAACAAAGATTAGATTTTTTAAAAAAAGAAGAGAAATTCATAGCAACGTTATTACTCATATAACATTACACTAGCCTTTTGTATGGAACAAAATTAAAATTATAATAATTGTCAACTTAATAAAAATAAAAACTATAAATTACAAATATTATGTAAAGAGTAGTATACTTTAAATTCGATCAGTGGTTTTTAGTGCTGAGGTAATAAAAATTAATAATAATCTTGTTCAATAGGACATTAAAAACCTTGAATTTTTTAATTATTTACTTCTTATGTAAACATTCAATAGTATTATCAAACCTTGCAAAATTCGATTCATTATTATTACTAACATAATTTTAATATTATTTTCAAAGAATAGTTCGGTGGTTATCAAAACCGCACATTTACCCTTCATAACCGCACATTTTACATCGTTCAATACCGCATATATTTATTATATTGTTAAAAAAGGAAATTTGAAAGGTCAGTAGTTAAAAACCGCACACATTTGATTAACAGTTACTTTCTTTCTGCATAATTTGCATGTACAGTTCACGTTGCCGGTTTCGTATGAGTCTCACACAGAATCTTTTTTTTATCCTGGGACCTACTTTGGGTGATGTTACATAGCAAATCGGGGGATATTTTCGTTTTTAACTGTCCGAGCGAGCTAGTGACTCTGCTCAGTCTCGAGGTGCATTCATGTTATTTTAGATAGATTTATACGTAATTGATGTATATGGTATATGTGTGGTATTGAAAGGTTTAATTTGTCGAAAATATGTGGGATAAAGATATAAAAGTATGCGGTTATGAACGATGCCCGAATAATTAGAATAAAGTTTTTTTACAGTTTCAAAGATAATATTAATATTATTTTAAATTTCTATAATAAGCTATTTAGGTATTATCGGCTTATTAATTTATCATTGGCTGAAATTATTGACACTTTAAATTTTGCAAAGATACATACTATCTACAAGATTCGGACAAGGAGGTAAAGTTTTTAACAACCGTGAATTGTTACATTATCTTCATATATCATGAATGCACACAGCCAATGGTTGTTTTGTGTACGGTGTATATAATCATTATGAACCGGAAGTCCCGCTTTTGGTCGTCCGCGTTAATATCTGTAAATTACGAATCGCAAAACAATCTAACTCAATACGAGCACATATAGAGTGGTTTTAATGTTTAAATATTCACAATAATTATGATATAATAACCATTTAAACGGTAATGATCCAATGTATGACACATATCTCGTAGTGCAAAGATAGAAGAGGGAGAAAGAAAAGAAAGAAATTGATATTTACATTTTTTTGTACATATTTTTGTTAAAAAAATACAGTTTGATTACATTATTTAAAGCTTTTAATTAGTAATGAAAACAAAAAATAACGTTCACTTTTAAAGTTGGTCAGAACATTGTACATACTCTAGCCAAAGATGAGAGTTTTTCTAGTTTTTAAAATTTCGTGATTAATTTTTTAGTTTGTAAATTGAATATTATACTCCATTAATTTTTATTTAAGATACAATCGACTTGTTGTTTTATGTAAATGATTTCATTCCCATTTGGGGCGTATCCAAGTTGGATTCCAAATAATATTTAATAAGATAAACAACTAATTGGGTCTGATAATAAAAACGATAACATACGATAACAGTCCAACTATAAAAACCATAACATATTAGTTCGGTCCGACTACTATGACAATAAAACCTGTTACTTACAAGTATTGAGTCGCTTGATTATGTTAAACAATTTATAGTATGTAAAAGCTCTATCATTTACATTTTTACCGATCATGTACATTTTAAAAGTTTTTAATTATTTAATTAATTTATTTATCATATACCAGTATTCCAATTTTCAATATATATAATACATTAGAAACTTTAAAAAAAAAATCCTACTTGTGTTCTAATTTATAGGTAACTGACATTACTATGTATGTAAAAATGAAAAGCGAAATTTTTTTTTTTGTATAGACCCAAATAGTGTACTACCTGAACAATACTGGGACCAAACTAGTGTACTATCTGAAAAACACTGGACCTAACTAGTTTAAATTAGGGTCTTTGGGAACCAACTAGTAATCGCCGCCTATTTGATCAACACCATAATCGTGATGTAAGAGTATATATATATATACAGTTCCGTATCCATCTATATCACTATCACGGATCCTGTTCTATTTTTTTTAATTCTATCTAATCTCTAGATCGAACAATCACTGATAACTTATTTTCATATTTTGTATCGTTCTGTCGTTATTGCCATCAATTATTTGTTTTGTACTGAAAAAATTTTCATATATAATGAAGTTTCGCTAAGTTAACTGATATTTACATACTTGTGGTCTTCTTGGGTACTGAATATTGGTAGTAGCCAACGTGATCATTAATCATCCATTGTAAATCGTATTGGCGGAAACAACAAATACAGGATTGAGTACTGATGGTATTCATGACGGTGTGGGTCGAAACCGATAACTCTGCCCAGGTAATGTTCGTATTGGTCGCCGTCTGAAGAAAAGGGTAGTACAAGTGCCGGGGTGCGTTCGTGTAATATAATATATCACGTAAACTAGGAAGTTTAATTAGTTTCGTCATCTTATCGCTCGCTCCTTTAGTTGTGTTGGACCCGTTAATACCTCGTTAAATCATTTGTTTATAATAAAACACCATTAAATTGCTTTAAGGAATTTTTGAGGGACTACGCTATCCGATTATTTATCTTTAACATTTGTTAGCGCAAGTTTATTAATTAAGAAATATGATATGGATTGCTCTTAGTGCAGTGCTTCCCAAACTATTTCAACTCACAATGTCCTTTTTTATTAGGGTTTTTTTTTTTCAGGGATCCCTTCCCAAAGTCATAGCATGACTAATCGTAAGGAGAATTTTAAACCAGATAGTATTTCATGACGACGCTACACACCAGGGCGAGACTTTAGGAACCACTGCCTTAGTGCATAACACATACCAGAAATCCCCACGAACACCACAATCTTTATAGTCATCATCGTATGGTGCTGATGTGTGCAAGAGCTCACGTCATCAAAATGAAAACCTTTATTATTAAATTCGCTATTAGCTGTTACTGAAAACGAAAAACAATATCGTTTTATTATTTCCCTCATTTCAGTTGTCACATTTGCCATTTTTTCAGATCTTATGTGTATTTAATGTTTTCGAAGATTGTTGTTATTTAATTTGAATAATCAAATAACTCTTATCGACAAATGTATATAAATGTATACATGCATACATACATTATACATATAAAAGTGGGCTTTCTTAAAATTTAATACATCAAAATTAGTTTGGTGGAGAGAAAACAGAAAGCCTTATAATAAAAAGTTTATAAAAAAACTGACTTTTTGTATCCAATATAATCAATTACAAAAAATAATAATACAATTATTTTATAAACTATTTATAGTATATAATTACGGAATAGACATTTTAAATTTTAATATTGATCTAGTTACTTTTTTCTTTTTTTCTTTCTCAATAACGAGCAATTATTATTATTTCAATGGAACTCTAGAATTCTCAAATATTTATTTATATATAAGTTTGAATAAACTGCCGTTCTCACTAATCAAAATATAATTTGTTCCATACATATTTTTTTTAATTCTACTCGGCAGCACATGTTTTCTCAAAACACAACCAACTTTTATTATAAAAACGTAACCATTGTAAAAAATCACCTTCATGTTATGAAATATAGTTGAATATTGTAAAATGTAGTATAGAAAATATATTTTTACTAAACTCGTTAAAAATCTGTAAAATATAAAACAGTGTATAATAGCAGATTTTTGTTGTACCGAACTGTTGATGTGCTGAATTTGTAACTTATTGGTAGTTTAGAAGGTAGTTTAGAAGATTTAACTTGCAACAGTATTGACGGTATGATAATTTAAAATAATTATTTTCCTAATCATGTGTGTGTGTGTGTATGTGTGAATGTAGATCATAATGACACCATGATAAAAAATAACATAGTAAATAAATATAAGAATGATAATAGCGGTCATTGTCTCCTCGGTCGCGGCGGAAAAAAAAGATAAACTCTATCCCTGGAATATTTCGGGGACCCCTTAGCGGTGGCGTTGAGGTATCCGTGTGTGTGTGTACATTGGTCTTGTGCAGATGATGAGCTTGAACGCGGACGTAATGCCCCAGTACAGGCAAGAGGCGCCGAAGACGCCGCCGCACATACTGTTGCACTACTGTGCATTCAAGGCGATCTGGGACTGGGTGATCCTGTGCCTGACGTTCTACACGGCCATCATGGTGCCGTACAACGTGGCGTTCAAGAACAAGACCAGCGAGGATGTGTCGCTGCTGGTGGTCGACTCCATCGTCGACGTCATATTCTTCATCGACATTGTGCTCAACTTTCACACCACGTTCGTTGGTCCTGGTGGCGAGGTGGTGTCCGATCCCAAGGTCATCAGGATGAACTATCTCCGATCGTGGTTCGTTATCGATCTGCTATCCTGTCTGCCGTACGACGTGTTCAACGCATTCGATCACGACGAAGAGGTAAGTTCGTAAAAGTTGATATTATTATTTTGCGGGAGGACGCTTTATAATTTATAATAAGTAATGTGTGACAATACCACTCCTAATCTTTCTGTGTATTCAGTATAATGTTTCGGAAACTTTAAGTTGATGAATAAATAGTCATGTTTGTTTGTCACAGTATGCTTAAAATAATTTAATAGTTTCGTCGAGTTAGCTGAAAAAATAAATAAATAAAACAGTTAAATTAAAATGTATTTTAATCAACATAGTAAATTTTACTAATTTCCTTAACAATATTAGGTTTTAGTACGAATTTTTTTTTTCAGTAAACTATATTTATTCACGTTTCTACGATATTTAATATTATTAAATCATTAGATTTATGCTCAAACATATTCATTTTTAAAGAAGGATTTGCATCATTGGATACACACTAGTGTGAAGTTTGATGATTATTGCCATTTATTTTACGCGTTTATTAAGTACCTACTTTAATTATAAATAGTGAGAGAGTAAATTAATCTGTTTAATACTTAATACTTAATAACAGCAAGACCGTGTATAACATTTTTTTTTTCGGGAGGGGTCCAAAATATGTACAGTGAAACCGCTAAATACTGGACACTCTTGGTCGCCATAATTTTGACCACTATCCGAAGGTGTCCGCTAAGGGAGGTTTCACTTTATATTGTAATTTTATTGATTTAGATTTTGACTTTTGATATTTAGTTAAAAATAAGACAGAAAAAGATATAATCTTCTTTTATTAAAATTCACATCATATTTTCATGATATACTATAATATAAAATTAAAAACAGTCAATGATTAATTGGAGCTTAAGTCATTTTTGACTGAAAATATTTATTTTGGTATTAAAAATAAATAATTATTTTAAACATTGGTAAAATATTGAAGACATTTCGGGGGGGGGCACTCAGAATCCCCCCCAGATACGGCCTTTAATAACAGACTTTACTGTAGGAGAATAACGCAAATATGAGAAGTTGATTATTAGAAATTACGGTGCCTTGAAACGTATGGTTGACCATATATTTTATAATTCAGTTGTTATAGGGTAGTCGCAATTATCTAACTGTATTCGGATGGTCTATGAAATCTATAATATGACCAAATCATGTCAAATATGATCTCTCTTTTTGTTGAACGAATTAGTTATACGTAACGGAAACCAGAGGTATGTAGATGATGATGGGTATCATGAGTTATTGTATAGGACTATGAAGAAAGGGCTTAGTGGTTTATAAAGAATAATATATTTGTACCTGGCATTTATATTTGCCGTTAGACCATTCGATGGACGAGACTTTTTTTTTGATACTAAGTGAAATGAATTTATTAACTATACAAAGGTGTTTTTTTCCTTCAACTTTCTAAGAAATTGTTAAAAAAAAAATCTTAAAATTATTTTCCCAAGTGGAAATCGAACCTTTTACTTTACCCTTTACCTTTATTCTCAATTTTAATGAACCGTTATTAAACGGGCTCACAATTCCACTTACTTTACTTCATTTTCCGGGTTGACAGCGTTTTGAACAACAGTTTATTTAGTCATCTTTCATGTTACATGAAAGCCAAACAAGTTGTTTAAGTGTAAAGTTGGTAAATATAAAGTTTTATTGTATTTTTATAAGTTAAGTTATTCATTTCCCAACTAAGCATACACGTGATGTGGACAGGACAAATATTGTAATTTTCGAGGGCAGCAAATATTAAATATTTAATTTAGCCCATTGATCGGCGTGTTCATTTTAAGGATTGCACAATATTTTCCCATGATATATAATGCGAATATAATACGAATATAATCAAGTTATGTTGAAATGTCTCAGTAATCATACGCGCCACGCATTTGATTTTCGTGGAAAAATAATTGTACATAACAATATTAAACTCCATTGGAGATAAATATTTTTATTTCGATTAAATTATACCTTACTCTATTGTAAAATTTGATAGTGACGTTGGAACGTACTATTACTTCTGATGACAGGCCACAGGCCTCGATCTTATGATTATATTAAATTACCATATCACTGTTACTTTGATGCAAATCGTTTTTAAAAATAATTATAAAATTATAATTGGTAACAATGATAATTAGTATTTATCCGCCAATAGTGCATCAAATCTGAATATTGTTTTATGTTTTTCACAGTCCGTAACTCATGCCGTGATCGAGAGATTATAAAAACACGACAGTCGCATAAACATACGACGGACAGAGTAATAAATAAAAATCAAATAAATGCGAGTCATATTTAAGAGGTGGTAGTTGTGCATTTGCGTGTGTGTGTCTGTGCACGCCCGTTTGCGGATGTATGTGCGTGTAATAAGACTTTATGAAAGATTATGGAGCGCCATCAATCATGTGCCGAGTTCATAATGAATGAGTATTATTTTACATCCAATGCGGAACAGTATTATATTATATTGTTTATTATTATTGTTATTACTATTTTACTTATCACAATATTATGTTATTCATTGTCTTTACGAAGACCATTCTTCAGGAAATATAGAACATGTATATATAAATAAACTTAACGTATACACTACTCGTGTATTTGGATAGGAAAATACGTCGGGCAAACGACATTTTTGGATATATGAGACATTTTTGTACGCGATGCTTTTAAAATGGTATTATTGTTTTAACGAGGGTATTTTCGTTTTCTCATTGTTGCTTACTTTGTATGTTCGTTACATTATCTATAAAAAAATAATTAAATTAATGACTGAAGTAACTCTTCACAAACACTGTGAAGGGTCTGATTTGAGCATTTATTTTATTTTTACTTTTGTTATTGATCAAACCGATGATAATCGATTTTAAGACTACTACTACTGTATTGCTGTACGATTATATTATAATAAATTAATGTACATGCATCATCATATCTGTGATCATTTGGTTATGAGTTTATTCGTATATTTATCATTATATGTATGAAATTAAAAGTTAATATCGGTTCTCTTATTTATGAGAGTATATTCATTGTATGGATTTCGTATCTTACGTTTTTTTCTCATTCTGTATCAAAAAACTTATCTGCTTCTAAAGTACGGTTTGTACTTAATTTTTTTTCTTTAAATATTTTTATTCTTATTAACAATCGAGTTGAAAGTTAGGATAGAAAATGAACGGTTCATATCGTATTCATAAGAAATGTTCACCGGAGACTGTGCTTATGATGCGCACTACTCCGAAATTGAAGTTATCGCAACTTTTTTTTTTTTTTTTGGTCATGCTTTAAACAACTGTCTTTACCGTTGCTCGATTTTCGATAAGCTTGATTACCTCCACGCCATGTGATCTAGCGATTCTGTCGATTTTTATAACGTGATCATCATCTAATCTGCAGCAGGTCGGGGTTATCCTACAGACCAGGACTCAACAACGCCTGAGTCATGGTTTCAGAAAGAGGTCGTATCAATAGACTTAAGAAGAGCCTGAATCTTTTTTTTTATCTTCTTTATCTCTTTTAGCTACTAGAAAACGATATATTATACCGTATAATTTATACGAATTTTTGAAATCAAATTGTTCTATTCCCTCCTTAATCATGTATTAGATCTATTTCTGCGCATCTCCTACAATAGGCCTGAAATTTAATTTTACGAGTTTGATCATTCAATATAGTTTATGTGATATTGGCATAATATGAAGTTAATGATATATTTATTTACATATTAAATTATGGTATCGAAAAATAAAAAAAATAATAAATGTTTGGATCTTTTGACGAATAGTCTTACGGTGATATTATGTTTGCTTGTTAAGGACCTTATAAATTAAGGTTTTATATCAAGTAAGTTTCAAGTGACCAATCTGTAACGCAACATCTACACATGGCTATTGCAAGCAACTGAGCAATTCAATAAGATAAAAAATACTTGTAATGATCTTATGTATATTACAAATATTTTGTATTATTACAACCGTAGATTCGATGAAACTGTTGGGAAGTATAAGAAAACCAACAAAACCATCACATAACTATGACCCTCATTCTCTCCGTTCAGTGATTTATAACAACTTGTAATTATTATCACGGAATATCAATTATCTAACTGTATGCAAGTATTAAAATATAATATACATAGTGGAGCAGATATACTAACTCAAAAAATAACTTGTAATACAGGCCACAATTATACATCTACTACGATATAAATGCATACATCTATAAAATATTACGCTGTTTTTCATTTACAATGAAAACGTTGGTCGCCTATTTTACAATTTTTGCTGACCAGGTCTTTCTGCACCGTGTTATATATAATCTACTTAGAGATTAATTCACAGATGCCACCGCTGCCACTGCCGACTAGGTTAGTCCGATATTAGGACAGGGATAATGAGGGTAAAGAAGATTCATAGGGAAATGCTTAACATACTATAGTACTCATAATTCACGTACGTGCATACGTGTACACATGTGTTGCGTGTGTGTATTATTTCGCATATGGTATAGTGGTGGTATAGGTGTGAAACATATATTGATGATACACTCGACAGGAAATTAGCGTATTCATATGCCATAGCAGTGTATGCATAGTAAATATATAGAATAATAATATGTAAACCACTCGAGTAATTTCTTTAAGTGTATCTTGTCAGGAGTGCAACGCAGAGATCGTGTAAAACACCCACAGCACACAATGTATATATTTGTCATTTTATCTATAAGAACCGGGTAGTGGGTCTATAACGACCAAAAGACAAGTGTGTATTATTCATGGGTTGACCATGAATTATATAATATGTACACGATCCGATAACTAAAATCAATTATTTAAATTGCACTGTGTGTGTACATAGCGACTGAATAAATTTCACACCTCATCGACGACTACACAGTATGAATATTTAGTTGTTTTCCAACTTTGTGTGTATGCATTCGTGTGCACATTTTTTAAATACTTTCCGAACAAGTAAAAGTTCTTCGAAACTTTTGCATTACACAGCTATGATAAGTTCCCTCTAGTAGAATTTTTTGTAACTATATATGCAATATTATATAAGTATACATCCAAGGTTTCTTCGTTTCTTAATTTCTACTAGGTTTGAAAGAATATTTTTATTTTAAATTATAATTTTTCCCTCCTATCATTTTGAGATATTTCTTAATGTTACCAATACACAGAATGTATAAAACCCGCCACAAAAGTTGTTTTCCAGCAAAATTTATTTAGAGTATTGCGGTAGCTTTCAAAAGTTGCCAATTTCTCAAGCGAGGGTTAAAAACTTTTTACTATCACGTTGCTAAGCCGCTTTCCGCGAAAAGTAGTAGTAATATAATAACATAATAACAGCGATAAATCTCCATAATAATAGTGTAAATTTTATCAATAATAATGAACTAAATTGATTGAATTTATTATATTATTTTCATATTTAAATATTTTAAAGTTTTTATTGATTATTCTTCTGTATTTTCTCTCTAAAAAAAAAAAAATTCCTGGGAAAAACTACGAACATCTTTTTTTGAATAAGATTTTATAATAATTTTAAAGTTTGTAATATTACGACGTGTTACATTATACGCATTAGCAAAAGTTTTTTTTTTTTTTTTTTATTTGTATTCAAAATAGAAGCTTAATCAAATTGCAAAGTAGGTCCGAATTTTTAAAATTGAACTTTATGTTTATACATCTGTAAGCACTATCTCGATTCGTACACACGCACAATCACCCTCATAATGTTTATTGGTCTGACACATGCATGCCATTTTAAATAATCGAGTTTAGAAGTATAATATAACCATTACAGTTAGTATAGTTATGTAGCAAATAATAAAAAGTAAATAAAAATCTTGATTGAGAAAATATTTAATGGATAAATCGGTTTTAAAATATGTATTTATTTTTTGTTCTTAATTATATATATATATATAAAAAAAAATAAATATATTACCAAAAAAATTCATATTAGTTTACTTGGTCTATGATCAATGAAAGACAACACACCGTATTTGTTTGTCTGCAATATTGTCTCCAAAATCCTTTTTTTATTGTTCCCGTTGTAAAATTTATTTTATTAACGTTTCGCGTTTGTGCTGTTTGTCTGCAGATTCATTTAGAACCCACAGATATAGAATTCCGGGTAGGGTACGCCGCACAGTGAAAATAATTGGATCTGGTTTCCTTCATTATGCAATGTTCGTTTATGTACACCGCATAATGTCCTTATTATATAAAAAAAAAAAAAAAGTAATGAAATTCTGTAGCTTTCGGAGCTATAGACAAAATGGTACGCCTTTTTGAATCTCGTAGAATATCATGTCGGGGATACATTAAGTACTCCGAAAAATAAACAAATATCTACTAAGTAAAACAAGGAAGAAAAATAAAAAAATATTGTCTTGTAAAAATATTTGAGGATGCGTGAACACAATATAGTTCATATATTTCATCATGTATATAGTAAAATTTTTCTATCACGAATGATGAAAAAGTATAAAATTACTAAGTATAAATATAATGCATAGGTATATAATATATTCTAATAATAATAAATAATATTTAAACATTTTTTTTTTTTATCAAATTTCTTGATAGAAATTACTTTTAAGTTACGTAAATCCTTGATTATATACGATGCACGTTCACTTTTTCCACCACAATATCACTGTGACAGTGTTTGCATATACTTATACACAGTGCAATGTGTCTGCAGATTTTGAGCAAGGATATTATATTCAGATAAAATATAAAGGATTTTACGTATCGTGCACAACATTTTTTCTCTGGAGTATTATTATGACAGCACATAGCTAGCATATTATTATTAACGTGTATATATATACGGTGTCGTGTGAAATTATTTTTTACGATTTGACAAGATTTGAAAGAGTATAAATCCCGATCCTTAGGCTGCATACACACACACACACATACACATACGCGTAGTATATATTTACTTATACGCCATATTGGTATCTTGGCATAATTAAATTAATTTTTGCAGATGGATTTTCATTTGAGACGTGTGACAATATTTGAGTAAAAAAAATAAATATTTAAAAAAAATTGTACAATCTTGCGATAGAGTTAAAGTTTAGTAAAGATTCCGATTTTTTTTTTACTTGTTAAGTGTTTGTTTATAATATTGTAATGTTTTGGATTCTTCGTCGATTAAAAATGGTACGATAAGCTCAGGATGATTATAATTATTATTGTTACACCTGTATATTTCGATTGATCGGAAATAAAATCCGTGGGCTACTTATATTATTAAGCTCGCAGTAGATGTGCATGACACGATATGTTCGTATAAAATCATTGGTTAGGTATACGGACGCAATTCAGACGTTTTTTAAAATTTTTCGAATTGATTACACGTATCGCAGACGTCACTGTAGACATATCAAATCTACTGATATTGATTTTTCATTTATTATATATTTTCGTTACACTACAAGAGCAAAACAATATATAAGAGATAAGGTTATTTTCAAGATTTTACTACATTCGTATTTTGTACCCGTCGTATAAACTGTTCACAATAATTCGTATATTTTGTTTCGTACAACACAATGCAGGAAAAATATAATATATTATGTTCCATACACTCAGTACTGTTTTATTTTATTTAGGTTCATTTAGAGCATTTATTTTTCCTTGTACATAATACACTGTACCACAAACTGTCCATAACATGGTCTTTGCAAGTAATTTTTATTTTTTTTCTAATGTTTTCCATCGAATCGAGCACATTATACGCGTATTATGCACAATAGTCTTATCGAGTGTGTGTGGTACGTGGGACGTTTTGTCAAATAAAAAATATATAATTGATATTCTGATTTAGAGCTGTAGTGATACTTTGTAGAGACGGTTCTACAAAAAATACAGAACACGGTTATACATACACAGAATAAAGGATGTAGTCGGTATTCAGAGAACTATTTTAATCATTAGTTTGGCTTAACGTATTGGGACGTCTGGAAATGTTGACTTGTCAGAATAACATTTGAAACGCTACTTACAAATAGTATTTCGGACAAAAAAGTCGTTGATTACAATGGTTATGCGATTTGTAGAGATTTCCTGCTGTGTTGAACCGATTGAAGAAAAATATGTTTTTGTCTTCATAACGATCCCAAACTGAACATTGAACGAAAAATATGTGTTAATCGAAGCCCATAAGTGTTTGTGTGTACGCGTGTGTATGCATGTCGTAATATGTTAAGGAAATAAATTATACTATAAAATTTATTAAAAAAATATAGAAATTGAAAATGATAAAAAAAATTAATTTTCTATACTAAAAAATCGTAATTTGGAGATCCACCAAATGTACTTCGTATTATTATTGTTTGATATTTGGTTCGAGTAAAATGAAATATCTTGTACCAAACATTCCAATGAGCTTTGCCGTATCGTGGACGTATTTTACCGGGCAGTGCAATATTGTATAGAAATTGTTTAAATAAAACCTTGGGTTTCTGAGAATATCGCTACACGCTCATGGGTATATTAAGGATTTTATTTATTTATACATACCTGATTCAATTGAATTGCTCCACTGTAGCATAGCAATTTTATTTTGAACATTTTCTGCATCTGCTCTGAATTTTTTGAATAAAGTGACTGCAACATCGTCCGATATATTTCTACCGATTTTTTTCAAATATGTTTTTTAATAATATATATGCGAGTTCATATCGTCCGTTAACCAATATGTTCTTGCTCTAACCCACATATCTTTCAACCATCAAATAATATATAACAACATAAATAATTTAAATAAGATTATATATTATCAAAAGTATAAATGGATAATGCTATACACATATGTATACATAAAAATTGTTGAAATTTGACTTCAAGCAGTCTACCGTCATTGGAGACGTGGTTCAATTTAAATTCATGCTGAATCGATGAACTCCGATATAAAGTTATAATATGATTTCATACAAGTAGAATGAAAAAAAACGGCATATTCCGAATATTATATGATTTGGCCTTTTAGAATAGGTCAGAAGAAGTCAATAGCTGTATTCGGAGACATGAATTGGTTAGAAAATGTCATTATTATGGTAGAGCAGTAAGTAATAAAAAAAAAAAATATTTTATTTATGTCTTTAAATATATGTAAATATTACTAAAATGAACGTTATCAAAAAATAATTAATTATAAAATTATCATTAAATCTAAATAAATTTACTTTATTTTGAATCTTTTTTTTTGCTTTTTTTTGAGAGTTTTAAACAAAATGGTATATATATTTTCTCTGATTTGGATTACATAATATTTCGCAGAAAGAGCAAAACATTTGTAGAGAGAAAAGGATACAAAGAAATAGTGAGAACACTGAAGTAATGAGAAATATAATTTTGACTTTTTTTTTTTCTATTCTATTGACTACTGCGGAGATATTTTTCACATGAATATATTTCAAAAATATATATGACGATAAGAATATTATACTGTCTGAGAACGTGTAATGATCGACACGTGTCGCAAATTATTTTAAACTATGAAATTTAATCAGCTCATAATATTAACTCGAAGAATATAAAAATACCACTTCTTGTTTTCTTTTTATTTGCATAGGGCATCGGAAGTTTGTTCAGTGCCTTGAAAGTGGTCCGGTTACTACGATTAGGCAGGGTAGTCAGGAAGCTGGACAGGTACTTGGAATATGGTGCCGCAATGTTGATTCTACTATTATGTTTTTACATGTTAGTGGCTCATTGGCTGGCATGCATTTGGTATTCCATAGGTGAGTGAGATTAGTTAACATTTTATTTGTTTATTAATATTATTATTGTTACGTTTATGTAATTAGGACGGTCGGACGCCGAAAATGGATATCAATACTCGTGGCTGTGGAAACTGGCCAACATAACGCAGTATCCATACTCGTACGTATTGTCCGAACACACAAACGCTACCGAACTGGTACATGGACCTCCGAGAAAGACTATGTATGTTACCGCATTGTACTTCACCATGTCGTGTATGACGAGCGTGGGCTTTGGCAACGTAGCCTCGGAGACGGACAACGAGAAAATTTTTACAATATGTATGATGGTGATTGCGTGTAAGTGTATTCAACATAAAACATGAAAATCGAAACTTTGGTTAGTCGATCGGTTGAAATGTAAACAAGGCGAGATAAAAATACTTGAAACCGTTTAGAGTTTACACAATTGGGCATATTTACAAAAAAACAATACTATTATATAGATATTTTTGTATGAATAATTGACATAACCACACAAAATTGCGTTATAGATATGTTAAAACTTTTATTTCGTATGGTTATATTTTTATTACTATTATTATTATCATTATTGTTATAATTTAGTCATTATGTTTTTTCACAGCGCTGCTTTACGCAACTATCTTTGGTCATGTCACCACCATCATTCAGCAGATGACTTCGGCCACTGCCAAATACCACGACATGTTAAACAATGTCAGAGAGTTCATGAAGCTTCACGAAGTGCCAAAAGCGCTATCCGAGCGGGTTATGGACTATGTGGTGTCCACGTGGGCAATGACCAGGGGCTTGGACACGGATAAAGTACGGCTTACATGCATTATTACTTATGCACCCTTCCGGATAATGGATGAGGCTATTTTGTTTCTGATACTTGGTGGATTAAATATAATTAATAACCGACCCAAATTAAATTACCCTAACGATTATAATATTTATATATTTATTTATACCTTAATATGCCATGGATGGGAAACTTATGGTAACTAGAGAGCTAATTAATAAAACTTTAAAATCTGGCTGACCAGAATAAAGAAAGCAAAAAAAAAAAAAAAAAGTCATTACAATTGACAATTAGCGTTTATTTTATATAGATAACTTAATTTTACGACAAAATCAATACAATCAAATAAATGTATAATACCTATAGTTTTGTTAGCTATACCGATATGGATATAAATTATATTTAGATATTTAATAATTTAGCTGCAGTTCAATACTAGATAAGAATATAATACCTATATTTTATAATAAACGTTATAAAATGAAATACCGATAAACGCTAAAATATTATGAAGTTATTTGAAAATGATTAGGATCCATCCCGTACAATATGCCGACACACGGAAAGAGAGGACAAGGGCAACGAATATAAAATTAAATGTTAAAAATAATTAACACAAGTTCAAATAGTAATAGCAATAAAGATATTACGTATATGAACAATTATAATAAAGAAATTAAATAGTTTAGAGAAAAGTAACAAAAGAAGAATGGGTACCCATGCTGTACATACTATAAATATAAAATAATAATACAAACAGTAAATAATAAGATATAAAAACAAAATTAACACCAATAGAATAAAGTAATACTAAATAGTAGAAACACAAGCTATTATAATAAAAAAAATGAATAATACATCAAACATTATTATATAAATACCAGATTCAGTGGAGACCAAAAATAAGTATTATAAGTATTTACGTTGCACTAAAAAATAAAATATATCGCGCCCGTAGTAGAACGCACACGCGATATTGTTATAAGTTATAATAATAATCTAATTAATAGTTGTAATAAATATATATTGCGCCGGTAAAAGTATGCACACGCGAATATTTAACAGTTATAATAAATATATACCGCGCCGGTAACGAATGCACAAACGGATAATATTAACACGATTGTACGAATAAGTTTACTGCACCGGTAATACGCACACGCGAGTAATTAAAATAAGTATAAAAGGTGAATAAAAGTACGCTCACGAGCTCACATGTTTGCACACAAAAAAAAAAAAAAAAGAGAATCAAGAAAAGAAGTACGTATAACGCGCCGGTATACAAACGCACATGCCATTATTTTCCGCTGACAAAATAACCAAAAAAAATTAAGACGAAAACACGTTCATTACCTACCACACACCAACGAACCGATATCACGCTCACGCAATGATAACGTGGAGGGAAAAACAATCGGTGCAACGACACAGCCCGGCTCCCATGTTAAGATGTAGCGGCAACAGATAACGTATCATGGGGAAGATAAAAAAAATACGTAGACCGTCAGTTACCCATCCATTCAATATTGTTACATGCTTCATATATATATATATATATATATATATATGCTTTATAAGGTGAATGGAAATGGCTAGAACTAATTATTTCGTTAACGTTGTACGTATGAACATTTTCTGGTTAAAACAGGGTACTAATATTTAATTTATACTCTTATATCAAATTCGGATAGTTCATGTTTTCTTTTGAGGAGTCGCATAATAATATATTAATACTTTGAAAACTAAATCGATTACGCAAAATAAATCACAATGATAACACATACCTATGTATAATGATATTGTTTTGTGACTTTCTCGTGTTTGTATCTAAAAGCTATGTTTATTATATACCTTATATATATAGACTGCAGGTATATATTACATGTCGTTTTTAGAACAATTATTAAGTCGGTGATACTTAACTTTTTTTTTTTTTTTATCAACCATTAAATCCGTTGTTTTAAAGCGTAATAAAGTGCATGACTTCAACGGGGGTTCGTTGGGAGTATAAAACAACCGTATTGATGATCACCTATCTCGAACGTACATTCATTTTGACTGTAAACAATGAAGTTAGTACGGGTAATAATATTTATTGACGTGGAATAGAGCCCAAATGGCCTGGCGCCCGAAGAATTTGGCTACCAAGTCACGCTTCACTCGTCATCAGCATCTAAATTAAAATGTTTTTTACAAAATCTAACATAATTATCATCATCGTCATCGTCACAATTGTCATAGTTGCATTACGTCCTCGTATGACAATAATAATAATATGCCCCGTCGTGTGTCATATAGGTTCTGAATTACTGTCCGAAAGACATGAAGGCGGACATATGTGTTCATCTCAACCGAAAAGTGTTCAACGAGCACCCGGCGTTCCGTTTGGCCAGCGACGGGTGCTTACGTGCCCTGGCCATGCACTTTACGATGAGTCATTCGGCACCGGGTGATCTGCTCTTCCACACCGGGGAGTCCATTGACTCGTTGTGCTTCATAGTTACCGGCTCATTAGAAGTAATCCAAGACGACGAAGTGGTCGCAATTTTGGGTGAGCATTATAATGATAATAGTATAACGATGAATAATGGAATAGATAAATATATATATGTTGTGTATAGCTATCTAGGTCGTCGTCAGATTCGATATATTTTTTTATAAATTGTACGATTTGTTTGTCAATTGAAACCCTTCGATGCGCATAAGATTAGCAATAAACATAAGTTTTGTTTGAAATTCGTCGATTCATTTAAACTGAAAAAAAAAACAATAATGTAACAGTAAAAATGAACCGAAAAAATATACATATATATATACTCACAGTTACATATTCGTGAATTTTTTTTTTAATTTTTGAACAATCTCATATGGAAATAGGCATGCATAAGTTATTATTCAAGTTCAAATTTGGCATTTTTATTAATAATTTTGAATATATCAATAAATCATTTAGATAATTTTTCTCGTTTGACAAAATTATGTTTATTATATAAGTACAATTGTTTAATGTAATTTATCTTTCATACATTTTATAAACTATAAATGTATCTTTATATGTTACATGCATTTTGTTCTGAAGTATCTTTTCCTTTTGTTATTTTTTAGCATAAGATTATAGAACTACGTTTAATGAATTATTATTTTCAATAAAAACGTAATTATGGTTATAAATTGTTGTTTTTTATTTTACAGGAAAAGGTGACGTTTTCGGTGATTCGTTTTGGAAGGATACGGCACTTGGCCAGTCGGCGGCCAATGTGCGAGCTTTGACCTACTGCGATTTACACACGATCAAGAGAGATAGACTTCTAGAAGTGTTGGATTTCTACCAAGCGTTTGCCAATTCATTTTCACGAAATCTAATACTCACTTATAACCTCAGGCATAGGGTAGGTGTATTAGACGCGATATTTCGACTGCTCAAGAGATCGATTGATCTACAAGATTAGAACGACTGTCAAGTGAAATTAAATTTAATATTCTTTGAATATTTTTCATACTCATTGATTTTGACCAGCGTTCCGTGTATGAGTATAATGTTTTATATTTCTACATGCGTTCCAACTATTTCAGTCATCCGACTGAAATTTATTTTTCAATTAGTTGGTTCATGTTTTATCTCTACTCTCCCGATTTATCTTATCTTTGCATGAACCAAAATACCTGCCCCGAATATTTTCTAACAAAACCTACTGTATATTTATTTACTTATATATCAATAAATGATTATTAAAACTAACCTATTTAGGTACTATAGTTAAATATTTTATACAAAACCTAAAAAAGATAAATTTTTTCATCCAGCACAATACTATTTCGATCCTTAAAAATGAAATTATTTTAAAAATCATTTTTTATTGTACATATAGAATTTCAAAGAAACCACTATTCCAAATATCAAGTTTGGTAGGTTATGGCAAGGTTTAGCAAAGCTGTATCAGTCAATGAAGGGTATTTTGTTTATAATTTTATCTCTCCCTAAACGTCCAGATTATTATATGAAAATAATGCTGAATTTAATTTTTGTTATGACCCGACTATGTTCGATAGAAAAATAAAAATAAAAAAATACATTAACGATTGGAGGGGCGATGCAACAGTGTATTGATTATTAATTTGAATCGATAGCTCAGATAGTTGCGTATCATTTACGTTCGCTTGTTCAACATAGTGAGAGTTGAAAATATTTATACACCGATAGTAGTAGTACACTAGTGTAGTGGTAGAAGTAGCGGTAGCGTTGGTCGTTTAATTGAAAACTGTGTTTTTGTTGTGTCACAGCTTATATTTCGGAAGGTCGCCGATGTGCGACGGGAAAAAGAGCTGGCGGAAAAACGGAAGAACGAACCGCAACTGGACGAGCAGCGGGACCAATTGGTCCGGAAGATATTCACTAAGTTCCGGAAGGACCGGGCGCCCAGTCAGGTTTTGGGCATGCAACAGGCGGCCACGACGTCCACGGACGAGAACAAGACGGACGGTGGGACGCCGTCGGTGACGGACGCATCGGACGGCACCGGTCGTCCCAAGGTGTTGCCACTGGTGTTGAGGCAGCAGTCCGAGGACCAGCAGGCTTCGAGCTCGACGGGAACAAGACCGGCAGCGGTGGCGGCGGCGCCGAAAAAGATGTCGAAATGGGGCAAGGTGTTGGGCGGCGGCGGCGGCGGAGGAGGTGGAGGCGGGAGCGCGGACTCGGCGGATTCTACGGCCGGTTCTGTAGCGACGAGTCAGCAGAGCCAAGGCACGGCCAAGGCACGTGATTCCCCGGGACGGGCGACTGGCGGAAACGGCCACAAGGTGTTCCCGAAGTTGCAAAAGTTGCCGGCGACCGCGGAACCGTTCGCGGCCGGAGGCGGTGGTGGTCAGCGGCAACAGGAGACGATAGACGAGACGGATGAACAGCAACAGCAAGCCGGTCGACCATCCGGTGGACGGGACCCGGAAGAGGAACCACCGCCCTCGAAGCAGCAGCAGCAGACGGCGTCCCCGCAATCGAGACGCGCGGACGCGCCTTCGCCGCCACCACCACCGTGTCCGTCCATGCTGCTGCCGCCGCCGCTCGATCTGGACGTGTTGTCCAAGATCGAAGACCTGAAGGCCGACTTCAAGACGGACGTGTGGTCCATCAATCAGCGTCTGACCGCCATCGAGGACATGATGGTGAGGATCGTGGACAAGCTGGACGCGCTGTCGGTCGCGTCGTCCGCCCCGTCGCCACTGCTGCAGCCTCACCATCATCATCATCATCATCATCACCAGCAGCAGACCGTGACATCACCGCTGCCGCCGGATACGCCACCGGACGTGGGCCGTGGGTGCCGGACGAAGAGCACGGACGATCTAAGCTCACCGGTGACACCCAAACTGCCGCCAATGGTCCGACGGCGGCGCAGCAAGTCACGCACGCGGTCCTCGTCATCCGCCCTGCCACCAATGAGGCCGTACAGCCCTAGGGATACGTCGCCACCCCCGTTTCCCAGGTCGGAATCGCTCAAAAAATCGCGGCCAAACGATTTTCTCTAACGTAAAATATCGGGGAAACCGATAAGCTACAGACGTGTACTATTTACAATAGGCATATGTTGTATATGTGTTGTACACTCATCGATATAAATAATGTACAAGAGAAAAATAATTTTAATTAAGAATCATTGTCTAGTGTTTGAAACCCATGTACAACTTAAAATATTTTTATCGTATGTGTTTATATGTGTTTTTTTTCATACATAAAATGGGTAACTATAAAACGAATGAATATAATGAAATAATGTAGAGAATAAACCGTAAACTCTAATATGTGATCGGAAGATTGGAAAGATTTTTATGCACGTTCGTAATATTATGTATATCCGGCTTTGATAAAATATTTCCCGTTTCTCACTTTTTGCTAAGTTTTAAACGGTTCAGGATCCAACGTTGTTTACTCGACATTTTCCACGAAGAATCATTATTTTCAAAAGTGTAGACATTATTATATATAATATTATATTATTTTATATTGAAATACTAAAAACAAATTAAACTTTATACTTATGTAGATTTGATTACTTGGCATTGTGATTTATTTTCCGTAGAGTGGGATTGGGCGTTTTTGACTAAAGTCGTAGATTAATTCATATTTACGTGTACAAGTATGCTATATTACATATGGTGGAAAAGGCAGAAATCAAATACTCGTAATTTTTCTGGCCGTATTGTCGTGCAATAAATTATTTCGGACTAACATTTACTATACACGAGCTTCCAACGTAACGCTTTCAACAGTTATTTTTTTATTTTTACCCATAAGAATTCTTGAAATTATTTTATCTCAGAGATTCTTAACCAAAGATCCGTAGATTCTTAAGAGACCGGGACGGATATATATATTCACAATATACGATGAAATCGATACAATAATATATTTTTTTTTTATTGTTGATAGTTTATTATTTTGTTGCGAAAATATTAATCATATTTTATTTTTTTGTATTCCAATCAAAGTATTTTTTTCCAATATACTTACAAATTTAAATAAAACAAAAATGGTTTCCGTTGTTCCTGAAGGGTCTGGATTCGAAAAATGGTTAAGAACCCCTTTAGAGTATACCCCGTTTCCTATTTATAAGACCCTTATATAGCTCTAGTCCCGTTAGAATCATCATAGTATTATGATTACCTTATATTCGTCGTTGAAATCCTTTAGTTTGCGAATCACAAACACCGTTTTTTCTAAATAATAATAATTGTATAATGATTAATATATTATTTTTCTAATATTCACTATTATTATATTGTATTATATTCAATCATTGTATTTTTTTAATGTTCATACTTTTCTGCAATGGTCTCATAATTTCTGGGACGTATTATTGTTCTCATAAATAGATATTTTGTTTCGTCTTTTTCGAATAATTACTATTCTTATAATCTCGTACACAATTATTATATAGTACAATCATATTTTAATTGTAAATTCTTCATATCGGACTAGAGCTACTCTCATTTTGAAATGTGATGCATTACAATTATTTTATTATACATTATATTTAACTTATTATTACCAAAAATGTAATACCTAATTTAATTTAACGACTTTTTATCTTAATTTAGTGCCTTCTCCAGTATAAAATCTGATAATATTATACTGTTATTTTTTAAGTAATTTTATAAAACTCTGGACATTAAGGTTCATTATAAAATATTGAAAACGTGTAAGGGAACAATTTTGATGGAATACTTTAAATTCTTAAATATATAGGGAGTCCTGTGACGATTTTCTTTCTTCGCGTCCATCAAACAAATTTACATGTTCGGAATAATTATAAAAAAAAAAAAAAAAAAAACCGTAAAGTTTTATTTTTTTGAGAAAAAATGCCACTGACTCCTGTATTTTAATCGGGAAAAACGTTGGTCAAATTATCCTCGTTTTTCTCCTATTACTGTCCCCTATAAATAGAACACAACTCCAGACAGAAAGTCAAACTTTACCATCCCTTTTCATTCCTGGTAAATCAAAAATCTAAAATCAAATTGATTTATTATTCGCAATTATATAATTATTCCTTTCGTAAATTATTTGGAAGATACGTTTTTATTTCTATTACCACTCACCGGAACAATAATTATTCATCCGATTGATCACCAGCAAATCGCCTCCTCTTTTCCCGAGTGTCCGATCAAGAAAAAAGAAATGTCTAAATTATTCCATTCAAATTTAGTTTAGCATATTACACTTTCAACACACACACCGTGGTAGATCCTATAAGATAAAGCCAATCACTTCTTTCTCTCTGAAACCTTTCGAATGTCGCGACGCGTCGTATTGTTCATTATAAATTAAATTGTTTCATTTGTGTGTGCGCTTAAATATTGAAACCGACATAAAGTATAAAATAAATATTATTGTGTAATCGGTATGGCAGCTTTCCTTAATGAACGCAGTGTAATAGTTATCAACAATCAATTGAGTTGTTTCAAAAGTAGGTTCTTAGGCCTCTACCACTCTCCATATAATACCAACCGATTAGTTATTAATCGAGCTTGGATCCGTCATCATTCGCGCACTGGACTCGGAGAAAGTCTGACGTTCACTTGTACTAATCGAACGGATGAGGTGACAGTAATATTTGAGAATGCTTATGTTATAAGTATAAATAAGCAAATAGCATATATATTTTGTTCGCAGAATTAGAATAGATATGCCGTAGCGGTCGAAGAGATCGTGACTGTACGGTTGTTCGTGAACGTTGGAATTTTTGCACGCACCGAATTTTCTAGATTAAAAAAAATAAATAAATAAATAAATAAACAACCACAGCAGAATCGCACTGTTTAGGGAGAATCCAAAAAAAGTGCCTTCTACACGTATCCTGTCGTGGGTAAATAAAAATTAAATAAAAAAATAAAACAAATAAAAATCATAACATTTGTAAAATGTAGGTGACGTGTAATAAATTTAATTTTAGAAGTACAAAATAATTTTTTCTTAAAGACTTTTGTGACTTGCATAATACCTAATTTTGTAGGGTTTTAATAATATTTTAATTGTTTATATATTTTGAACATGATTTTTTATCGATTTTTGGCACAAAAAATACTTTCGTCTATAAAATGTGACTTTTATTATTGTTATTATTATTAATTACAAAACTATTGTAAACAATCTCTTATAGTTAATTCAACGCACGTGTAACATTATTGTAATGCACTTTTATTTTTAGTCAAAATAATAGTAAAAATTTAAAAATTTTTTTGAATATTTACTATATTTACTTGACTATTGCCTTTCGTTATTGTTGTTTGTTTGTTTTTATTATTATTATTTTTTTTTTTATAAGCAATAAGTGAAGTTGTTACGTATATTCATTATTTCATTGACTTATAATATTATTTTATTTTTCTCAATTATTATGGTTTATTTAAATTTGCGTATAGACTTTTATTATTATCATTATTATTACTTGATTCGTTTACCGATTGTCTTTCACGCGTGTATAAATTTTTGTGCGATTTACATAGTGTCGTTGGAATTGTAGAGTAAATTTATTTCATTATTATTTAACAAGTCTTATAAAAGAAAAAAAGTTTACGACTAAATAGCTCAATCTACTTTTTTTTCGTTTTAACTAATGGTCACTATATATTATATATTATATGTTTATATACATATAATATTTATAATTATATATATTTTACATTCCTGCACCATGTCGTGCTCAAATTTAGATAATATTAATTTCTATTCCAAATCATTGAATATCGCGCTGCCTTTTACCGGAGTGTTATTTGTTATTTTATTATTGTGATATAATATTGATAACGATTAAAATTATAATGTTGTAGACTATTTTTCTTCTTCTTGTTTATGTTAAAAGAAAATTAAAAAAAAATGTAAAAAAAAAAATGTTTGAGACTTCCACACATCAAAAATAGTATAAAATGTCTTTTTACTAGTACGTAAGCCTTTGATTTTATTTTATTTTTATTCTTTTTTTTTATTTTTGTTTTAGCGTAGCAAGTGATTTATTCTATTTAATTCGATTTATTTTCTATACGATTTTATTTCACTTTGTAAATAATAGGCACGGATTAGCAAAAGAAACAGAAAAAATCAAAACGAAAATATATTGTAAATTTAGTGCTCGTGTACAAAATGTGATTCAAATTTTTCGCTGTGCAAAACAAATGAATTAACATTGTTTCTGAAAAAAAAAAATGTGTACTGATTTTTACATGTATTCCACTCGATGTACTTTTTTCTTTTTTCAGAAAATCGCTAGCTTTTATTGTCTTTAACTACACACGTGAGGAACGAGCCGAAATGGATTTTTTCAAAAGTTCAGATTATGAATCAAACAACATTTAAACAGATAGTTAATCTACAATATATGTTGTAAACTGTGAGTTTAAATGAAAGGAATGGAACAAATTACACGATGTAATTTTATCGGTTAAGTATAATAATTATCATATGATCATGACGATGATTAATTTTTTAGTTTAAAAATCGTTTTGTGGCGCGATATTCAATATTTATTGTAAATGATTCATAAAACAAATGATTTATATTCGTACGTGCACCCGTAGACGGATTATATTATGACCTAAGCCTCCCTAGTTCATTATACAACTTTCAAGCCTATTTCCATTATCTAGATCACAGGTGATTAGTAATAAACAATCTATTTTAAACAGGTCTATTAAAATAATGTATGAATCATAATACAAGCTTAACAACTTGTACAGTGATTATCCGTTTAAACAATGCTGTTTTGATTATTGTGTCAGTTAACTATGAGGATATATATATTGTTAACGATATTGTTCTACTTCCCTCCTAGGTAAATGAGCACAATCAAATGGAATACGAAGAGTCATTTGCTATTTGCCTGCAAAAGTTACTTTTTCATATAAGTACTGCACTTTAATAATATTTAATTATAAAACACAAGATAAAAAAATAACTATAAAAATATTATGCGTATACCTACTATAGGGTACATTTATAAGTAACATTTTTTTACAGAAGAATGAATTTTTTACTGTAAAAATTAGTATCCTCATAACGAATTTATACGACAGTGTTCATTGGAGTCTTATATTGAGTTGAAATATATACATGTTGTAAATTGTTTTCATCACTGACTTATGCAGGAATTGGGACATTACCCCTCCCTAAACACTCCTATAAATATTGCAATTTTTTAACTATTTCGAA